CAGGCAAGCGCGGCGGGCCTGAGGGTTGTTGGGCTCTACGAAAAAGTCGACCGTGACTCCGTCCCAAGGCCACGGCAAGGCCACTTCCGACCCAGGGTTGCCCGGCCCTGGGAAGGCTCCGTTAAAACGCAGCTGGATTTACCCCTCAGCTGCAAACCTGTCGGTCAGTGGGCACGGGTCGCTTGGCACGCCTGACTTGAGGGTAGTCACTTTAAAGGCCTACCCAGGTCCGCCTGACTACGATTCGTCAGCATCCATAGTTACATTGCATTAGTTACATTTCCCAAAAGAAGATATGTGGAAGATATTTGTTATTCTTTTTTGCACTCATATTAAAAACTAAATTAATTTGTTTTTATGATTTAAATACAAAGAAAGAACTAGAAAACCTTATTTATTTATATTTCGAAAAGCTTGTGGAAAGGGGGAAGGGAGTTACACTTTCACAACCGTATACAAAAGATAATTTGAATATACATATCTTGGATGCAAATAATGAAATTTTGGCACTGTAACTTCACTGGAAGTATTTTTGCGCATCATCGCCATATAAGCCATACTAAGGTGCTATGTGAGCTATAGGATAGAGTCTTCCGATGTAGCCAATTTTTATACCCTTGCAGAGGGTATTATGATTTCAGTCAGAAGTTTGCAACGCAGTGAAGGAGACGTTTCCGACCCCATAAAGTATATATATTCTTGATCAGCATCACTAGACGAGTCGATCTAGCCATGTCCGTCTGTCCGTCTGTCCGTCCGTTTCTACGCAAACTAGTCTCTCAGTTTTCAAGCTATCGGGATAAAACTTTCCCAAAAGTCTTCTTTCTATTGTAGGTAGTATATAAGTCGGAACGAGCCGGACCGGACAACTATATCATATAGCTCTCATAGAGCAAAAAATGTTTTCAAAATCGGACGACTATATCATATAGCTGCCATAGGAACGATTGGAAAATTAATGGGAATATAATAGGAAATAAATTATTGCTTCGTTGGTTTTTATTGTATTCTCTTCTACTCTAGGACATAACTCTTTTCAAATATTTTCGAATTTCGATTTTAATTTTATCAAAATCGAACTACTATATCATATAGCTGCCATTGAAACGAACGCAAAATTAATGAGAAATAATAGGAAAATTAACATTTTTGCGATTTGTAAATTAATAGGAATTATCTGCAAGGGTATATAAGCTTCGGCTGGCCGAAGCTAGCTTCCTTTCTTGTTTTACTATATATTCAAAATATTTTTTTAGATTTTTGGGGAAAAATTTCATAACGATATCTCAACGGAAAATATTTATGGCCGCGGCTCCATACAAGCCCAACCAGTGTGCAATATAAGGAGTGTTGAGAAAATATTTTCCAATTTCGATTTTAATTTTATCAAAATCGAACTACTATATCATATAGCTGCCATTGAAACGAACGCAAAATGAATGAGGAATAATAAGAAAATTAACATTTTTGCGATTTGTAAATTAATAGGAATTATCTGCAAGGGTATATAAGCTTCGGCTGGCCGAAGCTAGTTTCCTTTCTTGTGTTACTATATATTCAAAATATTTTTTTAGATTTTTGGGGAAAATTTCATAACGATATCTCAACGGGAAATATTTATGGCCGCGGCTCCATACAAGCCCAACCAGTCTGCAATATAAGGAGTGTTGAGTCAGAGTGAAATAAGGTTTGGTTAATAATTATTTATCTTCTCCTGGTAATATTGTATTGATTACAGTTGTACTATTAGACTAATTGTATAGGAAAAGTTACAACAACAAACTTCTAAAAACACAATGCGGCAACACTTCTACAATTTTGACCGCAGCTGTATGCTTTTATGTTTTTTAACTATGTTTTCTAGAACTTGTTTCTCCCTTAAAAAAATCCTTAAATGATTCTAAGCATTTTTCAAACTTTGAGACAGGCAGACAGGCAGACAGACAGACAGACAGACAGACAGACAGACAGACAGACAGACAGACAGACAGACAGACAGACAGACAGACAGACAGACAGACAGACAGACAGACAGACAGACAGACAGACAGACAGACAGACAGACAGACAGACAGACAGACAGACAGACAGACAGACAGACAGACAGACAGACAGACAGACAGACAGACAGACAGACAGACAGACAGACAGACAGACAGACAGACAGACAGACAGACAGACAGACAGACAGACAGACAGACAGACAGACAGACAGACAGACAGACAGACAGACAGACAGACAGACAGACAGACAGACAGACAGACAGACAGACAGACAGACAGACAGACAGACAGACAGACAGACAGACAGACAGACAGACAGACAGACAGACAGACAGACAGACAGACAGACAGACAGACAGACAGACAGACAGACAGACAGACAGACAGACAGACAGACAGACAGACAGACAGACAGACAGACAGACAGACAGACAGACAGACAGACAGACAGACAGACAGACAGACAGACAGACAGACAGACAGACAGACAGACAGACAGACAGACAGACAGACAGACAGACAGACAGACAGACAGACAGACAGACAGACAGACAGACAGACAGACAGACAGACAGACAGACAGACAGACAGACAGACAGACAGACAGACAGACAGACAGACAGACAGACAGACAGACAGACAGACAGACAGACAGACAGACAGACAGACAGACAGACAGACAGACAGACAGACAGACAGACAGACAGACAGACAGACAGACAGACAGACAGACAGACAGACAGACAGACAGACAGACAGACAGACAGACAGACAGACAGACAGACAGACAGACAGACAGACAGACAGACAGACAGACAGACAGACAGACAGACAGACAGACAGACAGACAGACAGACAGACAGACAGACAGACAGACAGACAGACAGACAGACAGACAGACAGACAGACAGACAGACAGACAGACAGACAGACAGACAGACAGACAGACAGACAGACAGACAGACAGACAGACAGACAGACAGACAGACAGACAGACAGACAGACAGACAGACAGACAGACAGACAGACAGACAGACAGACAGACAGACAGACAGACAGACAGACAGACAGACAGACAGACAGACAGACAGACAGACAGACAGACAGACAGACAGACAGACAGACAGACAGACAGACAGACAGACAGACAGACAGACAGACAGACAGACAGACAGACAGACAGACAGACAGACAGACAGACAGACAGACAGACAGACAGACAGACAGACAGACAGACAGACAGACAGACAGACAGACAGACAGACAGACAGACAGACAGACAGACAGACAGACAGACAGACAGACAGACAGACAGACAGACAGACAGACAGACAGACAGACAGACAGACAGACAGACAGACAGACAGACAGACAGACAGACAGACAGACAGACAGACAGACAGACAGACAGACAGACAGACAGACAGACAGACAGACAGACAGACAGACAGACAGACAGACAGACAGACAGACAGACAGACAGACAGACAGACAGACAGACAGACAGACAGACAGACAGACAGACAGACAGACAGACAGACAGACAGACAGACAGACAGACAGACAGACAGACAGACAGACAGACAGACAGACAGACAGACAGACAGACAGACAGACAGACAGACAGACAGACAGACAGACAGACAGACAGACAGACAGACAGACAGACAGACAGACAGACAGACAGACAGACAGACAGACAGACAGACAGACAGACAGACAGACAGACAGACAGACAGACAGACAGACAGACAGACAGACAGACAGACAGACAGACAGACAGACAGACAGACAGACAGACAGACAGACAGACAGACAGACAGACAGACAGACAGACAGACAGACAGACAGACAGACAGACAGACAGACAGACAGACAGACAGACAGACAGACAGACAGACAGACAGACAGACAGACAGACAGACAGACAGACAGACAGAAAAATCGGCGAATGTCGGTTACTCCCCTCTGGCGGTGTTAGTTTTTGGTTTCCGTTTCCCAACATATGTTTCTAAACGCACGGATGACGTCACGATGTACGTATTAAACACATCTTTAGTTTCATATCACAGCTGAAATAATAACAGAAATTATTATATTTCTTAATCAAATAACTTCCCATCTCGTGGGAATCGAACCCCTTCCCTCACAGTTTGCAGTGAAACTCTACTAGCAGCACCAGGGAAGCATCACGTGACGCGATGTACAAAGTACATTCACATTTTGTTCTCTTCGGTTCACGGTTTTTACTCTTGTTTAGCCAATTATGTATGTGTTATATTACCTAAATCTTAGTTTGTATTAAAAATTACATATTTTTGAATTAAAAAAAAATAAAGAGACGCTACAAATTTCCGCCTCGACGTGGGATTGAACACAGACTTCCGAATATAAGCGCACAAATCAAATAATCCGCTCGCTTTAGACCCCTAGGCTACCGATTGGGGCGATTTTCTAAGATGTAAGGCGATTTTTACTGAATTTCAAATGCAAAATTTCTGAAAAGCAGAAAATGTTTCTAAAAGTGGATAACAAGAGGAGCTGAGGGTAAATTTATCTTATTTTTTAGATAAATAGTTCTGAAAAATATAAATTTTTTCTTAATTTCAAGGCGATTTTCAAAGTATGTCGATTTTCTTAAATTCAGGCCATTTTTTTTCTGAGTGTATAGGGCAATTATGTTTGGAAAACATGATTAGCATGATTAAGAACCTCTCGAATAACGTGTCGCACATGTCTGTATTTTAAGCCGTTCAGCTGCATGCGTTTAAAATGTATCTTTTTCGATCTATTTCCTGCCAAATTAGTGGCCGTCCACAGTGATATTTCAAATTTTATTCATAATTGTGCGAACTTTATATAATCCAATTTTTTCCATAATTTGCACGCCTTTTTTTTGACGGAAATTCACATGAATTTTTTTATAGTAATTAGGATTAATCATTATGATTCAAATTTTGTATTTATTAATTAAAATGGTCATATTTCACTTCTAGAATGACATATGCACCAACACCAGAGGAAGCTACAAATGTACGACCATTAATTGCCCATATGGATACACCATTGACCCAGATCAAAAAAAGTAAGTGCTTAAGAACAAATGTTAATCATTTACAGATAACACCAGTTCACAAAGTAAATCGACTATATATCGAAGACGGCCTTGGTTTCCTGGTAAAGTTCATCTCCCTGATTATGTAAAGTGCACTTAAGTTTTTTTTCTCTAGTTTTGAAAAGCCGATTTCAGTCATCATAAACTCATTTTACTGTTAATTTTTTTGTTCTTATTTGGGTTTTTTGTTAATCATATAATCAGGTCAATCAAACTGGAACATTTCGGATTGCCGAAGCCAACTTCCTTTCTTATTTAAAATGCTTTTGACATTTTACTTGCAGCCGTTGCCGACAAAACAGTAACTTCTGCGAAGGAGAAGATTGTTACACTCAACCGTCAGCTTATACATATAATTTTATTACCTTCGTTTCCAAGCTAATTATCGCACCGGAGGGTCGAACCATATTTACACTAAGAGGTCCACTTTGGTATGATAACATCGATTTTGATCTTAAGATTATTCGCATACAAGCAACCAACCATATTGAGAGAGCAACTGATAAGAATTTTGAGTACGTATTTTAATTTTAAAAGTAAAAACTTAACTTGTGGTTATACAACTAATTATATAATTAACAGCACTTTAAAAAATAACAACCAAGTCAATGTGCTACTGAAGAAATCACTGGAAGGGCCACAGGACATTGAATTGGAATTAAGTATGACAGTCTTTACAAACGGAATGCCTCGAGGAAAAAGTGTGGCAAAATTATTCCTTTTTGTTTCACAGCATACATTTTAGAAATAAATGCACTCAAAATATCGTACATTTCATTCTTTTGTTATTACTTCATTTAAGTTTTTTAATTTTTTTGTTAATGGATTGATATAAATTCGATAAGGGTTTAAATTACACTACTTTACATCCAAAACGATCCACAGCAATTGATGGCTAATTCTGTTAGAGGTGGAGCCCTAGATCACGAAAATACCACAATTTTTTTTTTTTTTGCACAGATGTTTTTTAACGTTTTTTAAAGTTCAAAATGTTAAATTTCTGACTTTTTTCGAGCTTTTTCTTATATCTCGGCTCATATCCACCCAATTGGGCCAGTTTCCGTTTCATTTTAAAGTCAATAAATTAGAGCTTAACTTTGCCATACAGATCAGCATGATTGGATAAGTAATGGCAGCCCAGCAGCTCGACAAATGTGTTTTTTGCTCGACTATAACTCGGCTGTATATTTCGTAAAAACTTTAAATAAATCCGTTGAAAAATCATAATGGGTACAAACTTAAAGTTTACATCCTACCGAATTAAGCAAGCTGGGTATGGCCCAAATCCCTAGAAAATTGTATTTATGGTGGATTTTTAAAGTTATAATTTTTCAACTTTTTTCGATCGATAGAGTCCAAATGTAATATGTAAACAAAAACAAAAGAGAACGCTATAGTCGGGTTGGTGTCCCGACTATCTAATAATCGTAACTCAGCTAAAGGGAGTTCGAGGGAGATAGATATATAAACAATTTTGATTGCGTATAACTTTTTAATGAATGGTCCGATTTGAAAAATGTCTTTTACATTTATACCTCTCGGAAATCTTTCAAGATGTGGGCGCAGGACACATTTTAAAATCGTTATTGGGCGACCGTGGGCGTTAGAGGGTTAGGTTAGGTTAACCCGGACGGCCCTCACGGGGCCACGCATAGGCCAATACGGCCCTTAGTTGTCCGGTTGATGCGCATGAACCTTGAGATAAGTTAAGAGGTTTTTGTGTCCATAAGGATAGAGGTGTTTTTGGCGAAGGCAAGTAGTTCTCCTGGTTCCCTGCTGGAGGCGTCTCCTATTGATGCCAGTACTGGGGCACCGAGGTATCTTCTTCTCGCTCTTGAGAGAGCCAGGCAGTTGCAGATAAGATGTTCCAGGGTTTCGATAGCCCCCGATTCATCACATTTCCTGCAGGCGCGGCTGTTGAGTATTCCGAGTGTGGTTGCGTGTGATGCGGCCAGACAGTGGCCTGTAAGGATTCCCACTAACAGTCTGCAGTCTTTCCGTGGTAGACGCCGTACATACTGGCTGAGTTTGTCGTTGCGCTCTTTGCAAATAGTTCTTGAGATTCGGCAGGTCTTGGTATTCCTCCACCTGCTTTTTGCTCGCGTGTCCGCCTGTTTCTCCAGGGCGCTTTGGAGCGTTCGGAGGGAAACAGGCACGTTCTCCGTTCTGTCGTTCGCCAGCTCTATGCCCTCCTTTGCAAGAACGTCAGCTGTCTCGCTGCCATCGATGCCCTGGTGACTGGGAACCCAATAGATCCGCACTGACTTTGTCGTGCTAAGGTTGTCTAATGCCTCCCTGCTCGCCATCAAATTTTTGGGAACTGACTGTTGACGACTGAATGGATCTTATCGCCGCTTGGCTGTCCACGAACAAGTTGACTACATCGTGTGGTCGATTTATATTTTGAGCCACTTCAGCAGCATTCCTTATGGCGAAGACTTCCGCCTGGAATATGCTGCAGTCATTGGGTAGGTTAAAGGACAGCCTTATTTCAGGGTCCGTACAGTATAAGCCCGCTCCTACTCCTCCTTCCATCTTGGAGCCGTCCGTGTATATATTGAAGTGTTGAGTCTAGTCCCGACCCGTTTTCCAGTCATCTGGGCTCATAAACGAGGTTGTTTTAACCTCCGGGCACGTTCTGGGGGTCATATGGTCCGTTTTGTTGATCATGCTTCGGCCGGTCGAACTATACCCGAAGCTTTGCGCCGTCATGTTACCTGATGCAACTAGACGTTGTGCTGCCTTTCCTGCAGTCAGTTGTGCGTGGATGTCTATGGGGTCGTCTCCGAGAATCGTTTCTAGAGCTTTAGTTGGGGTTGACTTCAGCGCCCCCGTTATGCAGACAAATGCCTGCCGCTGAATTCTCTCCATAAGCTCGGTGTACGTCGTATTTTCAGTCGCTTGCCATCACACTAAGGCCTCGTACAGCAGAGTCAGACGCACCACCGAGATGTAGATCCAGTGCATCAGAGTAGGTGACATGTGCTGCTAAGTATCTTCTTGGATGCATATAGCGCAATGGTGGCCTTTTTCACACTTTCCACTACATTAGATCTCCATGCTGTCCAGTACTGTGCGTTGACCTGAGTTTTCGGGGTCAGCTTAGTTGCGCAGATTTTCGGGGGGTCCATTTCGGTACCTTGTATCTCTTAGTAAAGAGAATGAGGTCCGTCTTGTCCGCATTGATACTGAGTCCCACCTTTTCCGCCCAATCACATATCTCCCTGAGTGTTGATTCCATTATGAAGCTAAGGGTCGGTGGACAAACTCCCGTAATAATTATTCCTATGTCGTCCGCATAAGCTGTTATTTTTGGGGCTCTCCTCTCGAGTCTCTTAATTAGATCGTATACCATCAAATTCCATAGAAGAGGCGAGCGGACCCCACCTTGTGGTGTGCCTTTATCATGGTGTCCCCTTTACCATGGAAGCAGTGCCCCACTCTAAATGTACCCGCCTGCAGCTAAGCAGGTTTCTTATCCATAGGCTTATTGCGTGGTACGTGTTGGTTACTTTTAGGCGAACCATTACAGCATCCGTCTTGACATTGCTAAATGCTCCAGATATATCTACGAATACTCAAAGCGCATATTCCTTAATGTGTAGGGCACTCTCAAAGGTTGCTACTAGCGAGTGTAGTGCCGTTTCCACAGATTTTCCCTTGATGTAGGCGTGCTGGTTGGATGACATAAGCCTCCCTACATCATTCCTGATGTGTAGATCCAGCAGCTTTGCCAGTGTCGAGTATGAAAGAGTTTATCGGCCTGTGACCCTTGAGGCTCGCGTGACTGCACTTTCCCCCTTTTGGGAGAAAGACAATCCGAGAGGTCCTCCATTGGATTGGGATATAGCTCGTGCTTAGACATGCAGAGTATAAGTTAACAAAACAATGGTGAACTGCAAGAGAAGTTGGGCAGTGCACGAAGATGAACGGGACACGAAGACTTACTGACTTACTCACAAGGTGACTGGTTGTTGTGGGCACCAACTTGCCGCAACACCCATCTAAGGACCAACATCTCCGTGAGCAGCGACGTGCCACGGTGTCAACCCCCTGCACGGGCTGTGCAGGCGGAGGATAAGGTCGGCAACTGCATTGCCTCATTATCCTAAACCTTAGCTGGCGCCCAGCCGAGTCGACGACCCCGACAAAATCTCGAAGACACGTGAAATAATTAAATCAAATCAAATCAAATTGGAATCCTAGGACGGACCAAAGGCCAAAGAAGGCCAAAACGCCCCAGAGGCACACAGCTCTAGCCCGAAAAAGAAGAGGGAAAACCGTTATAAATTCATGTGAGTGAAACCTTTTTTATGAATTGCTAGAAGAAATAAAAGGGATAGTAACAAAACATTATTTTCAAAAGTCAAAGAAATTGTAGTGAAAAGATCCAAACTTATAAATAACAAAATATTTCATATTAAGCGTTTATTTTGGGAAAGAGTGTTGGCAATAAAGAAAAGTAACCTAAACTCGAGTAATTTATTTCTTTACCTAGAAAAGGTGCTCAGCACGTGGCTGCTCTGTATGCTTATCTCTCAACCCCGGTGTTTCATTTTTTTTTGCTGTGTCTGACACTCGGAAAAAATACGGTAAACAGATGAGCGCTTAGCCTAACGCATAGCTTTGCGACGGTTCAATGTTAATTCTGTGATTTTTCTTTTGTTTTGCATTCCACTCTCGTTTGGTCTTCGTTATCAGTGCGAGACCAACCGATACCTTGACGGTTGTATGAGCGATTCAGAGTTTGAAGACTTAATTAGTCAGTTGAGTGAGCTTGTCTTATCAGAGGAGAACGTCGGACCTACAGAACAAGAAAAAAAGAGTATGGATCCACAACAACTACATACAGTCATAAATGCAGCGGTTGCGGCCGCATTAAGGGTGCAAAGAGCTGATTTTGAAGAAAAATTGAAAGAAGTAACTGATAGGTTTAGCGCTGCAACAGTATCTGCTCCTGAAATTGCTGTTTACTTGCCTGTTGCAGTATCCGGTAATGTGAGTTGTGAAGAAGGCCTTGATGCGGTGAAGTCATTGCCTGAGTTTGATGGGTCACAGGGAAAATATGTTTCTTGGCGACAGGCAGCAGTTGCTGCATATGAATTGTTCAGAGGATATAGCGGTAGTTCAAAACATTATCAGGCTGTTCTTATAATCCGCAACAAAGTTAGGGGATCTGCTGACTCTGTCCTTTCATCCTTTAATACCGTCCTTAATTTTGATGCTATTATTAGCCGCCTTGACTTTACCTATTCCGATAAGCGTCCACTACACTTGCTCGAGCAAGAGCTCACAACACTCAGGCAGGGACAGATGTCTATTACACAGTTTTATGAGGAGGTTGAGAAGAAGCTCACACTACTTACAAACAAGACAACTATGACATATGAGGCTGACCAGGCTCGGTATATGAATGATAAGCATAGGGCTGATGCCCTGCGTGTGTTTATTTCTGGTCTGAAGAGAAACTTAACAGATGTGCTCTTTGCTGCTCAGCCTAAGGACTTACCTTCAGCGCTAGCGATGGCTCAGGAGATAGAGGCAAACCACGATCGGCATGCCTTTGCGGCACAGTACGCCAGATCCATAGAAGATAAATATTTTAGACAGGCCCAGAGTCGTCCATTACAAAGGTCACCCGAATCGAGCCATGAACAGACAGTTAAGAAGGGGTGGAGAAATCCGTATTTTACTAGGGATCAAGGTCAACGACCCGTTGTTGATAACAGACCGTTCGAGAAGATGGACGTAGATCCAGCATTGTCAAAGT